TCCTTGCGCCTCCCTCCCTTTCCTCGTTCAAAAGCAGTGATTCTTCAGGGGCACAGAGATGGCCATCGCTGCTGAGCGACACAGCCCCAGCTGCTGAAAGCAGATAGGCTATTGAAGAAGGAAATAAAAGACGGCGGATTATGCTGGTAAACTCTCTCTTCAGACAAGCGGCTTCCCCTGGCCGGGGCTTGTTTCTTCTCAGCCTGTGCCACCAAGATAAGGGCAAAGAGAAGCCCCCGTCCCCCAAGACAGCAAAGAAGAAATACTCGCGCTTGCTTTTCCTGCTGCTGCATCTCTCTTTCCTGTTCTTTTTTTCTCAACCGGGTCGACAACACAGGGCTGCATGAAAGCCGCGCAGAAGCTTCTCACGGCCTCTGATGGAGCAAGTTCAAAAGCACGTGTTGCCCGGCAGAGAAATAAGCGCATGAATGCTAATCCAACATTTAAAAAGGAGCTACGAACAAATAAGAAAAACAAATTACACAGAGTCCAGGGGTTGTTTTGCATCTCTGCACATTTCTCTTCTCTGTCAACAACTTTCTCAGCCTTTAAAAAAAACACTCAGATAGGGCATGGCTAAAAATGAGAAACTAACTGAGTTAAGGGGCAAAGAACCGGTCAGAAGGGGAAAGGGAGGGGCTGATTTTTGGTTCGCATTAAGATCGTTGGAGGTGGGACCTCTCGTGTACCCACCCACCCAGCACTCCTTCTAAACAATGGACACTTTAACCACTATGAACCCCATTTCAGCCCTGCAAACCAGAGGACGAATGCCAGTGGTATGACCCGCATCTCTAAAATAAAGAATAGTGGGGTGTAGAACCAGCCTGTACCAACAGAACCTGCTACTGGAACAAAAGGGCATTGCTACCATCTTTCATGCCTTGGTGACTTCTAGATTAGACCACTACAATGTGCCGTATAGGGGATTGCCCTTGAATACTGTCTGGAAACTTCAAGTGTTCCATAATGCCGCTGCTCAGCCGTTGTTGGGCATGAGCAGGGCTATTTTTGGGCAGGAACGCACAGGAACGGAGTTCCGGCTGGCTCCCAAGTTGGCCACGCCCAGCAGGAACTCATTAGCATAATAGGCCACACCCAACAGCAGGAACTCATTAGGATTGGCTACATTAGGGGTGTGTGGCCTAACATGCAAAGGAGTTCCTGCTACAAAAAAGCCCTGGGTTTTGACAACAAACAAGCTAAACAGAATAACAAGCAAAAGGTGGGTGTGGCTGGATAACCACACTTCTGGTAACATGGGGGTGCGGCCTAATGGGCTGTGCTGTCAGGGGTGTGGCCCAACATGCTAATGAGTTCCTGCTGGGCTTTTTCTACAAAAAGAGCCCTGGGCATGAATAGGGCACTTTGAGAAGAGGAGAGGTAATAATCAGTGGTAGCAGAGGCGGTTTTAGCTTTGGAGCATTTTGGGGCAGCTGCTGCTCATTGGTCATGCTTCCCCAATAGCAGGGAAAAGAAGAGGTATATCCAGCAGTCTCCTGCTGCTGCTTACATCCACCACCCTCTGGAGTTCTGGCCCTGCTGGTGGACCTCCTGATGGCACCTGGGTTTTGGCCACTGTGTGACACAGGGCGTTGAACCGGATGGGCCACTGGCCTGATCCAACATGGCTTCTCTTACGTTCCTCCAGCGCTCACACCTCCTCTTGCTCCTGCCAAACATGTATGGGGTGAGGGCTGCCCCTTACTTGATCCCACTCTCCGCTGCATGTCTGCCTTGCACTGCGAGAGATGGACATGCGGATGGTGCACAAAGCATCAGCGTTCCTGTTGGCCATGTCAGTGGCATTTCTGGCTGTAGCCGCCGCCACCACCACCACCACCACACAGGCAGTGTGAGCAGCTGGGACTGCAGGGGGTAGAAGAGCTTGCAAGCTTGGAACTAGGGATGGGCACAAGCTAAAGTCTGCGATGAGTTTTGGGTGGCTTGTGAAGTCAAAATTTGTGGCAGGTCGACACACACGAACATTTTACAAACTTTCAAGTTGTTCGTGAAGGTTCGTGCTGGTTCGTGAGCAGCTATATTTCCAGACAGACTGTCTCCACCCAATGTAAATGTTTACACAACTTCAAAGCAACAAGTTGGGGGACACGTAGAGGAGCATCCAGGGGAGGTCCCCTGCGACTTTGATGTCTCTAGCTTGCACAGGATCGGTTCTATACACTCCTGAACCTCCTGAACCTGAGACTGTGGCAATGACCACCTAACGGGTTCATTTGGCCCCTAAAAGTTCAGTTCAGTTCATGGTCCATGAACCGGGCACACCACGAACCACAAACTGAACTGAACGGCATTTCCCAGTTCATTCCCATACCTGCTACTGGTTCCTTCTTCACTGAAAATGGGGTGAGGCTTTTAGATCTGGGAGGTTCTGCATTCCAAGACCCCCTAAATCTTATACCCGCCACAATCACTACAATGAGCCATAACTGCACTGGATATTGGGGGATGTATACAACGACACAGAGCTGTCTAACGACATGAATCCACTGTGTAAAAGGGCAAGTCTTAAATCTCTGCACCCTCTTTTGTTCTTGTTTTTCTTTAGCCTCCTTTGGCTCAGTTTTACAAAGCTGATAATTTTGTTCCAGCGGCTTGTGTCGTTATCTTCAAGGTAAGGTGGAAGCACTGGAGACTCCTTGCTTATCAGAAATTACTGCTCATAGAACGATGAAATTCTATTATTCTCTCCCATCTCCAATTACAGATGTTGGTACAATCTTCTCGCTCAATCCTAACAGCCGTTTACAGAGCATCTATACATTTTAATGGGTGTATCTTGATGGATTTGCTTTAGTGACATAATATTGCTTGTCCGTTTGTTTAAATCACAGAGATCATTTCATAATACAACTCTGGCACTTTCCCCAGCATGCCGGTGATAATATCGACAGGCCATTCTGATTAATGAAGCAAAAAATGTAAGTCAAATCTCCCTTAAGCCCTTCCAATGTATTCTCACGTCCCATTTAGCAGCGCCAGAATATGACACCTTCAGACGCCATACTCGACCAGCTCGCTCTGTCGTGGATTGGCTCATGCTTCCTGCTTGGCTTCCAGTTCTAATTAGCTCAAAATAATTTGGGCTTGTTAACGAGCTAGCTAAAACAACGACTAATGAGCTTCTTTCATCTTGTTAATTAGCGCTTAAAAAAAAGGTCTGTCTGCCTGACGGAATTAGAAGCAAAATCGCAGTGCCGGTCAACTCTTTACACGACAAGGTTTCGTTCTGCTTGGATGCGCTACCAGAGCCCGCATAGTTTCCAAATGGTTATTGCACAACGGCTATGACCCAGCTCTTCTGCAGTTGCTCTGAAAAGATGGGCACAAGCGGAAAAGCAGCAGTGGTTCGGAATGCTTGCCAAGTCTAGAATTAGGGAATGGCCCCTGGCTCAATGGTAAAGTATCTGTTAGACATGCAGAAGGTCCCAGGTTCAAACCCAGGCATCTCCAGTCGAAAGGATTAGGTAGTAGGTGATGAGAAAGGCTTTGATCTGAGACCCTGGCTCAGGGTCAGACCATCTCCTTGGCATGCAGAAGGTCCCAGGTTCGGTCCGCAGCATCTCCAGTTAAAAAATCAGGAAGTAAGTGATGTGAAAGACCTCCACCTGAGACCCTGGATCGGTGGGAGACCATCAGCTTGACGTGCAGAAGGTTCAACCCCCCAGCATCTCCAGTTAGGTCCAAGTAGTAGGTTACGTGTAAGACCCCAGCATAAGACTGTGGAGATCGACTGCCAGTCTGAGCAGACAATATTGACTTTGATTGACCAAGGGTCTGATCCAGTGTAAGGCAACTTCATGCATTCACGTATTTGGAGCCGAATGGGCACAAGACCAGTGGCGCATTGGACTGGGACTAAGAACGAAAATCTAGGTTCAAATGTGTGCTCCGACATGAAGATCTCTGGTGACTTCAGATTCTCAGTCTGGGGTTACTTTGAGAATAAAGGAAGAGTGGACGAGAGAACCCTCAAATTCAGAACAGGCCAAAAGGAAGCACTTCTTCACTCGACGAACCATTGGTTGGTGGAATTCACAGGCACGAGATGTTCTGATGGCCACTTAGTTGACCTGAAAAGGGACTGCTGTTGTAGTTATCCTGCTCATGGGCTTTCTAGAGGCAGCTGGTTGGCCCCAGAATGCTGGACTTCATGGGCCTTTGGTCTGGTCCAGCATGGCTCTTACGTTCTTATGAGATTAGACAAATTCACGAAGAAAAGGTCCACCAATGGCTACTGGTGGTCCTCACTTTGCACAAGGTGGGCAGACGGGAGTTCTTCCTCTCTCCCTCTGCCAAGAGGTGAATGGGATGGGGGGGACAGGCCCTGAGGTGGGGCCCTTTTCCAGGGCTCTTCTGACCTTCCCGTCTACTCCAAAGGTGCCCATCCTCAGTTTTCTATTTTATGTTGGGTTTGTGCAATTCCTCCATATGCAATTGCAGTTTGGCGTAGTGGTTATGTGCGTGGACTCTAATCTGGGAGAACCGGGTTCAATTCCCCACTCCTCCACTTGCACCTGCTGGATGACCCTGGGCAAGCCATAGTTCTGACAAGAGCTGTCCTTGAAAAGGGCAGTTCCTGTCAGAGCTCTCTCAGCACCACCTACCTCAGAGGGTGCTGGACCTCCTGATGGCATCTGGTATTTTCGGCCACTGTGAGACAGAGTGTTGGACTGGATGGGCCATTGGCCTGATCCAACATTGGCTTCTCATATGTTCTTATGGTGTCTGTTGTGGGGAGGGGAAGGGAAAGGAGTTTGTAAGCCACTCTGAGACATAGGGCTGCCAAGTGGGGGCGGGGGGCGGGTAACCCCCCGCTTCGGAGGCCCGATTCCCGCCGCCGCGGAACTCCGCCCCCCGAAGCGCAGT